AGAGAGAGAGAGAGAGAGAGAGAGAGAGAGAGAGAGAGAGAGAGAGAGAGAGAGAGAGACAGACAGACAGACAGAGACAGAGAGAGAGAGACAGACAGACAGACAGAGACAGAGAGAGAGAGACAGACAGAAACAGAGAGCTAGTTATCACACAAGATAACTGGAATCTATAAATATTTAAAGAAGGTACGTATGCAGCATATCGTGAACTTTACGAGACGTTTCGCCCATCCAGGAGTTTCCTGAATGCTAATCATTGAACTGAAGGAGCTCCTGGTAGCAGGCAAAACGTCTCAGTGAGGAATCCACACAGGCCATCAGCAACGACACGAGATCTGATCTCGTGTCGTTGATGCTGCAAGCATCACAGTGTCTGACCGGTCCGTGTTTCGTCCCCTTACGTACCTTTCCAGCCCTTGAAAATTTTTACCACCTGGTCATGGGCCACGGGGTCATTGACCCCAGATCCCCCCTCCAGATATACCAGCATCAAAACATCTCCCGGGAGGGAGGGGGGCCGAAACTAGGCGAGTGCACACACTCAACCACAACTAGGTGAGTGCTCACACTCAACCACAACTAGGCGAGTGCTCACACTCAACCACAACTAGGTGAGTGCTCACAACCACAACTAGGTGAGTGCTCACACTCAACCACAACTAGGCGAGTGCTCACACTCAACCACAACTAGGTGAGTGCTCACACTCAACCACAACTAGGCGAGTGCTCACACTCAACCACAACTAGGCGAGTGCTCACACTCAACCACAACTAGGTGAGTGCTCACACTCAACCACAACTAGGCGAGTGCTCACACTCAACCACAACTAGGTGAGTGCACACACTCAACCACAACTAGGTGAGTGCACACACTCAACCACAACTAGGTGAGTGCACACACTCAACCACAACTAGGTGAGTGCACACACTCAACCACAACTAGGTGAGTGCACACACTCAACCACAACTAGGTGAGTGCTCACACTCAACCACAACTAGGCGAGTGCTCACAACCACAACTAGGCGAGTGCTCACACTCAACCACAACTAGGTGAGTGCTCACACTCAACCACAACTAGGCGAGTGCTCACACTCAACCACAACTAGGTGAGTGCTCACACTCAACCACAACTAGGTGAGTGCTCACAACCACAACTAGGCGAGTGCTTACACTCAACCACAACTAGGTGAGTGCTCACACTCAACCACAACTAGGTGAGTGCTCACAACCACAACTAGGCGAGTGCTCACACTCAACCACAACTAGGCGAGTGCTCACACTCAACCACAACTAGGCGAGTGCTCACACTCAACCACAACTAGGTGAGTGCTCACACTCAACCACAACTAGGTGAGTGCTCACACTCAACCACAACTAGGCGAGTGCTCACACTCAACCACAACTAGGTGAGTGCTCACAACCACAACTAGGCGAGTGCTCACACTCAACCACAACTAGGCGAGTGCTCACACTCAACCACAACTAGGCGAGTGCTCACACTCAACCACAACTAGGTGAGTGCTCACACTCAACCACAACTAGGCGAGTGCTCACACTCAACCACAACTAGGTGAGTGCTCACACTCAACCACAACTAGGCGAGTGCTCACACTCAACCACAACTAGGCGAGTGCTCACACTCAACCACAACTAGGCGAGTGCTCACACTCAACCACAACTAGGTGAGTGCTCACAACCACAACTAGGCGAGTTTTCACAACCACAACTAGGCGAGTGCACACACTCAACCACAACTAGGTGATGAGGATCAACCAGGACTGCAAAGACACTTGGACAGGCTGGTAGACTGGTCCAGTAACTGGCACCTCGAATTTAACCCCGCCAAATGCAAAGTAATAAAGATCGGGAAGGGGCAAAGAAGACCACAGAGAGTATAGACTAGGTGGCCAAAGACTGTAAACCTCACTCAAGGAAAAGGATCTTGGGATGAGTGTAATACCGAGCACATCTCCTGAGGCACACATCAGCCAGATAACTGCTGCAGCATATGGGCGCCTGGCAAACCTGATAATAGCGTTCCGATACCTCAGTAAGGAATCATTCAAGACTCTGTACCCCGTGTACGTCAGGCTCATGCTGGAGTATGTAGCACCAGTTTGGAACCCACATCTGGTGGGGAATGTCCTATGAAGAAATGTTAAGGGAAATCGGCCTGACGACACTTGAAGACAGGAGGGTCAGGGGAGACATGATAACGACATATAAAATACTGCGTGGAATAGACAAGGTGGACAGAGACAGTATGTTCCAGAGATGGGACACATTAGTAAGGGGTCACAATTGGAAGTTGAAGACTCAGAGGAGTCAAAGGGATTTTAGGAAGTATTTCTTTAGTCATAAAGTTGTCAGGAAGTGGAATAGCCTACAAAGTGACGTAGTGGAAGCAGGAACCATACATAGTTTTAAGACGAGGTTTGATCAAGCTCATGGAGCAGGGAGAGGACCTAGTAGCGATCAGTGAAGAGGCGGGGCCATGAGCTATGACTCAACCTCTGCAACCACAAATAGGTGAGCACATACACACACACATACACGTGCGTGGATTGCGTTCTTTCTTCCTGGTTTTGTGTCGGCCACAAATTCTGCAATATTGAGATATAAATGTTCCTGAGACATGTGCAATAATAATTCAGAATTCAAAAATTAATTTCTTTGCATAGTATACAAAGCGTAATTTACATGTACGTATTATTACAATCATGGGGGAGTGCTAAACCCATAGGATTATACAGCACACGTGGGGGGGAGATGGAAGGTATTCAGGCTCAATATAGGGAACTGGAGCTCAGATCCAGTTCCCTAGATCAAGAGCCCCTCACCAGCCTCAAGGAACCTCCCTTGAAGGGTACATGTACGTAAATTGCGCTTGATTATTACAGCCTCTCCTCACTTAGCGACGTACATGTATGTACTTATTTACCAATGCCTCGGACTTATGATGGGCTCTCTGACCAGTATACATACCTAAATAATGTATATTAGAGCAGATTTCCTCTATTCTGTTTATTACAATGTACAGTACATTACTGTATAAGCATTTAAGAATATACCAGAAATGTTGTAAATAGTGCATTATTATTATAATCAAGGGGAAGCGCTAAACCCGGAGGATTATACAGCGCCTGGGGGGGGGGATGTGGAAGGCATTCAGGCTTAATTCAGGGAACTGGAGCACAGATCCAATTCCCTAAATCAAGAGCCCCTCACCAACATCAAGGAACCTTCCTTGAGGGGGTAAATAGTGCAAAGGTGACATTAAAACAATATCAAAGATGGTTGATACAAACCCACTACCATGACTCTACCACTACCATTATAGTATGATCCTCACTTAGTGACGAATTCATTTACCGACGTGGTCTTAGGAACGGAAATCCGTCGTTAGGTGAGGAGAGGCTGTATTATCACCAAAACTAAGTGCTAAACTTACAGGGGTCATACAGCACTGTAAATCAGGTTTGATCCAGGGAGAAAGTGGCTCAGTCCTTCCATCTGGGTTAAAAGAAAAGTGGAATAGGCTCAGGGTTACAGTAGCCTCTTCTTAACTGAATATCAACCCAGTTATCACTCCTATAGTGATTTTTGATGTCAGTTCTATCGGTTTCATAGAAATGTAAATTAAATTTCCTTTAGTTATCAACTTTATTGTATAATTACATAAATTACTTGATATCTATGTAACATACAGCACTTTCTATGTAAAAGTTTTTTTTTTTAAGAAAAAAGTGATAAAATAAAATATTAGTGTTAGCTATTATACTATGGCACTCATTTTGTGCTGAGAAAGTGGAAGAAATTATACATTCTTATAAGGTAAAAAAAAAAAAAAAAAAAAAAACTGCCAAAACTACAAATCCCTAAATGTACCAAAAGTAAGTAAAGGAATGCCTCAGACATATATAATGTGCTAAGCATACTAGTGGCATTTTTTTTATATTCTGTACGTGAGGATAGACGCGTTGCTTTACAGGCCATGGTGTGTTTCATTGTAATGTACAGTGGTTAATACTGGGACTCTGATCAGCACCATGTAGTGTAACTAGCAGGATCTCTGTCCTCTGGGACTTCTCTGTCCTGACCAAAAGTCTTGACAACAGAATCTTGGTCCACATAAAGTTAGTTCATATGTAATTTAATAATTCTAGAAGGTATGACAAAATCAAGGACCAAAAAATTACTCACATAGATTATGGCAAATGTTTTAATGACACCAGAGGAACCAAGCTGATGCTACATTCAGATTCACGATCAAGACCCACCTAATACACAACAGTTGCCATGTACCATACACAAAGTAGGCAGTAGATGAAGCCTGACAAATGGTGAATCAAAAGATACAGAGCAAGTCTTATCTTTATCAATATTTTGTCCACTACATTGGACACATTTTTTTTTATTAATACACTGGCCATTTCCCACCAAGGCAGGGTGACCTGAAAAATACACTTTCATCATCATTCACTCCATCACTGTCTTGCCAAAGGTATACCTCCACTACAGTTAAAAAAAAAAAAAAAACTGCAACATATAAACACCCCTCCAGAGTGCACAGACACTGTCCTTCCTACCTCCAGGACTCTAAGTCATGTGTGTCTGTCTGTCTTTGATTCACCACCATACACAAAACATACACGAGAGCTGTTAGTCACACCCACAAAGTACAACTGTCTTATCAACCCTATTTAGTATTCATGTTTTCTTCTTCTCAATAAAATTAAACCAACCTATACAACTTGCACCCACAATACACAGCAGTATTATGGTGAAAAGAGACTAATATTTGCTTGAGGGAATCAGTCACCTCGACTATACAAACAACTTCATTATTTCTGGAAAAGTTTATTGAAAAGATTAGTTTAAGTTTTTCTGTTTAATATTGTCAACTCCTTAAAAATTAGACCTATTAAAAAAAAGCTGAATGATATTTACTTGTATATATGTATGTGTATGTATGTATGTATATATGTATGTATATGTGTGTATAAACACACACACACACACAATATTATTGAGTGAAATAAGTATTGTATTTACAACATTAACATGGTGCCAAAATTTACTTCAAAATTTACTTGTGGTCATTATTCTTTGTCAAACTGGCATTAGACAAATTTTAGAGAAATGGTTTCGAGGATGCCAGTGTACTAAAGCTACTGTGAAAGAGGAAAGCGAGAATGTATGTTTAAAAAAAAAAAAAAAGGCATAATTTAGGATTACACCAGTAGCAATTTAAAAGCTATGGAGTTTATGCAGTTAAAATCTAAAGCATTAATATTAGTTTTTCACCATACTCTCACTAATATAAGTAGTACCTAAGTATACCTGGAACACCCTTCAGGTATACCTGCTAATACTTGAGAAAAATAACTCACAGAAGGTGTGACAAATTCCATGTATTAAATACATTCCTTACTGTATAGTTAGAAATTATCTATATTTAGGAATATGTTTTTATTTTTCAAGGATTTTTCTTAGTACGTAAAGGGCCATATTCTTGAACAACACCTGAGGAGTGTACCACTCTTAATGACTTAGTAATACGGCCAAAAATTATATAGCGTCACACTGCAAAATTGTGTGTCAACTTGTTGCAAGTTATCACAGTAACTTGGGTGATATTTAAGAATATGACCGGAAGGCTACATTAAGGCAACAGTTGCAACATAGAGAAGGTTCAGGCTGTATACTTTAATCGCAGGCATAGACACACACCTATATCATATAACAATATATGTACTGTTCTAATAAACATTTTTAATATAAAATTTGAAATACTGATACAGTATACAGTATTTATACTTAAACCTAGAATTACTTTAAACAGGTTATATCAATGGCAGTTTATCGTCCCTTGAAATAAAGTATACTGAGCTAACCTTTTAACACAGATGTTTAGGATAAAATGCAATGTTGGCCATGTATGGGAGCTACCATGGGTAGACAAATAATTTGACAAGTGACAAATAAAATATTTATCATAAACAATGGAAAACTTCACAGATAAATCTTATAACATTTTTGGTCAACAAGTCACACTTATACCACCCAAGATAAAAGTAATTAATAAAATATTACCCAACTAAATATTCAAATTATACTTTCCTCTCATATACATACTCAAATCAATTGCAGAGAAGCCTCTTTGATGTAGTTCAAATCTCATAGCACAATAAAAAAAATTCTCTGTAAAGAGCTAAACCTGTTTGGACCATTTAGCACAAGCGGAATGGAGAACAATCACCATTCACTCGGGTTGTTTACAACGTTTCTTCACAGGTGTTCTACTGGGTGTAAGTGAGCGAGTAAACAAACCTCATTACCACATGAAATCCCAAGTGCACCGAAAGAAGTCAAAACCCTGTGTTTATCACTTAAAGTTCTGATGCACCACATGATCTAGCACAAACTACCAATATCTCATGACTATTTTAGCAACACTCTTGTCAAACCTTGATTTTCATAATGGGAAATCTCGCTGGGATTTAGCGAGTCAACAATAGGAATGATTTACTGTAGTAATTCCCTCCATTTACAGAGGTAATCTGTTAACTGAAATTCATCCAGCAAAACAGATACTGTATAATACAAAAACTAGCAATATTGTGTTAACCAAATCTACTTATATTTTAAGAATTTAAATAAGTTATATAAAATGTGAAAAAGTAAACTGGCATTTAATGCCAGCAAGGAATGCTGAAGTGTGAAATAATTTTGGTCGAGCAATATGTACCCAAGAGGATGTGTACTTTTTTTTTTTTTTTTAACAAGTTGGCCATCTCCCACAGAGGCAGGGTGACCCAAACAAGAAAGAAAATCCCCAAAAAGAAAATACTTTCATCATGTGTACTGTACTGTACAGTAATACTTAAGCAAATGCACCCAAAAGGAAATGCACAATAATCTACAATAAGAGAACCTGAATTATGTGGACCACCAGGCATTAAAATATCAGATGCAAAGGTTTTTCAAATCAGTGTTTTATTATGAATTTTTAGCACTGGAAACAAAATTAAGCCATTTTTATACTGAGAAATGACAACTAAATAAATAACTAGTTTAGTATATAATAGCAACTGAAAGATGATTGAACCCTTTTAAATGAACTCAAATTGCAGTACAGATTTAGCAACTTAGCTCACTTAAAATTTTTTAATTCAACACCATCTCCTTGGTATTAAAACCCATTCTTGTTCCCTGGGTCACAAGCTCTGTCATCTACCATCAAAAATAGAATAATAAGCCTAACTCAACCATGCACACACAAATCTCTGCTCAAAAAATTAGATATTTCTGGATGGAACTGTCAGTTTCTCTCAGCAGTTAAATTACATATTAAGTGGTAAAGAGCCATTATGGTCGCAAAAGGCGAAAAATTATTATATTCCTCAAAACCACAGTAAAATCTTAATCATAAAACAAATAAGATAATTAGGAACAAAATGAGATACCAATTACCAATGAGCATAACACAGCCTAAAATTAGATTATTCAAAGATGTAGAATTCCCTTTCTGACCTAGGTAAATCATAAAACGCCAGTCCTTAGTTTCAATATTACTTCACCTCATTCCAAACCTTGTTACATCTTAAAGCCACAAGCACTATTGCAATCCTTATTAAGGCAACAAACATACTTACGACAATTTTTAACCACACCATCTACAGTATCTCCCGTCCTCTCTTTCCACACATCACAAGAGTAACTGTGGAGTGCACAGTATATTTATGATTAAAAATGACATGGAAACAGCAGTACAAAGAACAACACACACACACACATTTCACAGTGTGGTACAGTATATAAAACGCTTGCACAAATACAAGATCCGCATACACAAACTCTCCCACACATATATACAAACATGTAAAAATGACACATTACACAATACACAACCTTCACAATGAACAGAGAATTTTACAATGATGTTTCGGTCTGTCTAGGACAATTTACAAAATTACACTAACATGAAAGATAGAGGGAGCCAGTATATATAGGTGAGCAGACAGGAAGGTGCCCTCCACATTTGTGACCCTCGGTTAATTAAATCAGAAATTTCCACTCTTCGTAATTCATTCTCTCATCTTGGCTACCCTTCCTATTTCGTAAACTGCCTTCTCACAGGCTAAACAGACTTTCTTCTCTCACAAACTCTCTAATCCTGTGAAATCTTCTATTCTCTGCCTTCCTATATTTCCAGTCTTTCTAACCTTGACAATTCTTTCTGTTCCTTAGACATCAAACTTACTTTTCATCAAACTAACACCCTCCACAGTAATCTAGCCCGTACCTCTCCTCTTGCTATAAATGCTCCTGGTGTCTATTCTATTTCTTGCCCCTCTTATCCTCTTCAGTACTCTGGAGAAATTGGCCACTCTCTCTCTCTGACAGGCTCAAGGAGCACAAATGAAGTGTTAGGTTTGCTGACACCAACAATGCTCTTTTCTGTCATGTTAGAGATCACAGTCATCCTATTGACTGATCCTCTGCTAGAATTGTTTTCCCTGCTTCTAACTTTCACAGTCGCCGTCTTGTTGAATCACCCCTTATTCACATCTTTTCTTGTATAGGAATCTTAGTCCTGGCTTTGTCCCTGTAGATGCCTTCATTTCTCATTACATTGTCAAATGCTCTAAACTCCAGAACATATGTGAATTAACCTGATAATTTCTTCTCCTTCTCTCTCTCTGCCTCTTCTTTCCTATTTTTCATTTCTCTTTCTTTATTTTTTCTTTCATATGCCTAGGGTGTCCTGTCCTTCAGTTACCCCCCTCCCCTCATGTTTATGGTCCTACCCTTCGTGGGCCCTTAGCTCTCCTGCAGTGCTCCTCTTTCTTCTCTTTTGACTGACCCCACTCCCACTACTACTATTTCCTTTCCTACTACTTTTGCAACTACTTTTGTCTCCCACCACCCTTCACTCCCTTTTTCTATATCTTGTCCCACATAAACCACTCTTCCTACTGTATACTACCACTACTACTACTACTACTACCACTTCCAATATATGAAAATTAATTAATTTACAGTATACCTGTACTGTATTCATAACTCGACTCTTGTATAGATATGCAGAAAATACCAGCTATTAATTCCTGTCAACCAATTATCGTCATTAAAAAACCACTACTACCACTCTTGGTCCCATTCCTGTCTGCTTGCCTAAATAGACTGTCTCCCCCTATCTTTCATGTTAGTGTGACTTTGTAAATGGTCCAAGATGGATTGAAACGTCGTCGTAAGATTTCCTCTTCTATGTGCGGGTTATTTCTGTATTCCAGTCACAGCGTTGTGCCTTTTTGTTCATGTAAAAATTATTTTTCTCCCCAAAAAATAATGCATAGTGCAGAATACACAAAAAGAGACAAAACACCCCAACCCTCATTACAGAAGTTTAGTAATTCACAGAGCAGGTGGCATTCAAACCAATGGTAATCATGATATTATGATTTTGAGCCAGAATAAGTCATTTAAAAATTAATTAACAATGGCATATCAGCAGCAGATATCTCTAAATTGTTTAAATACATACTGTCTAGTTGTGTACCTGCTAGTAGATAAATTTTCAGTATCAATACAATATGTGAAGTCTTTCAGAAATAAACAATGAGTTCTGGATAGTCTAAGTGACACATTTTGGTATCATCTAAGAAAGTTAGTACAGACAAACTTCCTGCACACATTTTCAAATATTTTTAATATATAAATATATATATAAAATTATGTTATACTACATTCTGAAAATCTAGCACATTCATCAAAAGGAGCTCTCAACTAACATCTGCTAAAATATGAATCACAATTCTTACCTGTATCATTAATAATAATTAATAATATTAATAACAGTTATCCCCAAAGCTTGCATCATTACCTATTATTTGTTCTTAATCAATGGTGTGAATAGGGGCTACTGCATTTAAATGTGTACATAATAAAACGTTTGAAGTTTCAAAAACACTAAAAATGAAATCATAATGTGTAGTACTACTCTATTACTTTATTTAAATAAGAAACCTTGCTCATAAGAACATATATGCAATTTTATAAGTACGTCTTACTGTAAATGGGTACAAAAAAGTTTCGACCTCCCAAAAAAATTATGAGCACTTAAAAAATAATAATGAGGAGTAATTCTCAATGGAAAAGAAAATCCAAGGAATGATAAATACAAAGAAAAAATAAGATTACTATCTGCTCAGCACACATTACCAAGGCTTTCATGTATCTTCCAGTTACAACACTGAGTGTATAGGAAAAGAATTCTTCCTCCATAAGCCATGCATGTCGTAAGAGGTGACTAAAATACCGAGAGCAAGGGGCTAATGACCCCTTCTCCTGTATAAATTACTAAATTTAAGAAGAAAAACTTTTGTTTTTCTTTTTTGATCACCCTGCCTTGGTGGGATATGGCTGGTGCATTGAAAAAAATAAAACTTACATATGATGTACATTTCAGTTTTCCCTCATACTGCTTAGTGATGCACGAGAATTTTGATAATGTAATCAAATGGTTAATTTCGATGACAAGTCAAGATTCACAACACAATATAATCACAATGCATCTACTTTGCCAATTATACACAGGGTTCAAGGGTGAGGGTTGCTTATGTGTTTGGCTTACTCTGGTTATGAAGCACGACATGTACACATACATACTGCATGTACAAAAATGAATGCCACACAGTATACAACAATGAGTTTCCCTCATGGCATAAATGTAAGATGGGGGGGGGGGAGGGAACTGACCCATATTTGGTCCACTCACATTAATCCCTTAAAAAATAAGTATACATACACCCATGCAGAAACACACACCAAATCAACATTCTTATCATTTTCCGAGGCACTTTTACAAGACTGAATTACAACTGCTTACATTTTTTTACAATACTCTCAGATCAGCCAAGCTGTGATGGCTATGTAGGCCTGCAAACTGCTGACAACAACAGTCTAGATGATCAATAAATCAACAGTTAAGTCTGGCCTCAGGTTGGACATTGAAAATAGAAAAACACTCACATGTAGTTAACTATTGATACTGACACATACAACTGTAGTTTCTGATCATGTATAGTACAGGTACTCTTCACTTTATGCAGCGGATGCATTCCAGGTCTATAATGGCTGTACTGGGCTCAACTGGGTGCCCATCAACACTTAATTAGGCATATTAAGTGGTAAGTGATTTCTGTAACCTGATACTCACTTGATACTACAGAACATTTGTAAAGAAATTGTTGCAGAAACCAGTTAGCCAAACTCAAGTCCTGGTGGTGGGAAATACAGTACCTGCACTCTAGAGGAAGAGTAGGAACTTTGCAGATCAGAGAATCACGACTGATATCAATATATGTCTAACAAAACAGTGACTGAATGACTGATGGTAAAAGTGTTTTCTTTTTTGGATCACCCTACCTTGATGAAAGATGGCCAATGCTAAAAATCTTAAAAAAACGTTTCTGTGAGCCGAACTAACAGTATAGGGAGAACTGGTCGTCACATATTATCAATACGTATTACGATACAAAAATAGCCTGCACATAGGAGAGAGGAGCTTACGACAATGTTTCAGTCCGACTTGGACCATTTACAAAGTCACACTGTGTGACTTTGCAAGTGGTCCAAGTCGGACCGAAATGTTGTCGTAAGCTCCTCTCTTCTACGTGCGGGTTATTTGTGTATTGTTCCAGTCACGGTATTGTGCCTTTTTGTTATCAATATTACAATCAGAACTAAGCACCAAACCCACCAGGGCTAAGATGGTCAACACAGAGAATTCATATAAAGCAAACCTGCATAAAGTGAGTGAAACCTGTGCCTGCATGAATAATCAGAGGAGAGTTTTCATATCATTTTGATGGCAGCATTGCTTCTAATTAGTAAAGAAACATGGCACTGGTGGTATTCTTAAATATGAAAGGTCTTGTAGAAACCTTTTATATTCCAGAAAGTATTGATGTGTCACATCTTTGCACCAAGATATGCCGTTCTTGCAATAAAATAGTGCCAAATTCAAAATTACTAAATACCAGTGCACAGGAATTGCTATGCACAGGGCGGCAATCTGCTCGTGAGAAGAAGCTAGGGGTCTTATCCTGAAGCTAGGTTTTTTTTTCATTTCAGGGAGCTTTATGGGGGTTGGGATGGTAGCTGGCTAAGATTATAGGAAACTTCAGTTTTCTCCTGCACCTGCTCTATGTACCTTGGCACCACTACTGGTCCACTAAGGATTATGTAGAGGGGTGAAGTCTGAGGTGTCTCAATTCTGATGAAGTGCATTGTTGGCATGACTGACTACTTCACTTGGCCTATACCATCATATCTCTGCCATGTCTTTGCATCACCATCGATGCAAGTGTACAAAAAAATATGTATACAACCAACATGTATGCAACCAATGTGTATGCCACCAATGCATATACAACCAATATGCATGTAACCAATGCACTGTATCATCACAATAAAATTACATGCAGGCAGAGAAAGACAATATATAAAAATGAAAGCTTTTGCCCTGGTTCCTAAATACAACCACATGACCTTCAGTTGTAATATTATTGTAAATGTAGTGAAAAAACATTAAACCCACATGGGTCATTCACCTTATAATAGATCATACAGCAACCTGAAAAAACTAGAAACACTCACAGAGCATTGATCGAACTGAAGAAATTTGCATTTAAATGCTGCATAGTACCCTGCATTTTATAAGTAACACTAGAATTTGTAAGGTTTGCAAAGATGTAGGAGTGCCATATTATTATATCAAACCCATAAGGGCCATAAAGTGCCTGAGAGTAAGAGTGCCATAACTAATTGAATTATCAAGTACAAATATCTGAATCGTTGAACACGAGGTCAGCACATTTGCATTTTTCACGAGAATATAATCTACTATTCAAAATACTGCCCGTATTTAATTCTAATTAGTTAATACAAGTATTTACAAAAATCATTCCTGAGAACAAGGAATATCACTTCATTTGTGAGGACCTACTGGCATTGATGTTTATAGGCCCTAAGTCTTGATATTTTTAGTCAATACCTAGTACAAATGTTTCACCTTAAAATCTGTATCTATATAATAGAGTACAATGAAATCAACTTTAATTTTCAATAACCACTCAATACTTATATGCACATTTTGGTCAGATTTCAATGCAATACTAAACTTCAATAAAAATGGATTAAATACCAATATTGTACATGTATTTAAGAGATCCCTGCTATGAGCTGCTGGTGGAACACAAGTGCTAGGCTATGAACTCTCTGTAAGGTGCTCTTATTATATTGGTTGGACATCTTAGATACCTTCAAATGTATTCAAAATATCTTTGTTCAAAGAGACATGGAGCTAACTAGTAAAGACTGTATTATAATTTACAATATCACTACAACCAAATAATTGGTGTGATAGACAATCCCATAATGTGTCTTTATATCAAACATGTTTTTAGTCATTTGAAAAATATGGAAATCACAAACAACACTCCTGTACTTGTGTGTACACACACAAGTAATCACAATGATCAGTGTTGGGTCCCATATTCTTCATATTGTATATCAACACCCTGACAAGAGAAATAAACTCCTGCATGTCACTCTCTCTAAAAGTTGCCATAATAATAAAAATATAAATGAAGAGGATAGAAGGAGATCACATGAATACTTGGACAGACTAAGAATAGTTAAATAAATGACTACTGGAGTTTAACCTAGACAAAAGCCAAGTTCAAAAACTGGGAGATGTGGGAAGGTGGGTGGGTGTTGAGTGTAGTGTATCACCTAGGGGAAAAATGAGCTCACAAATGCAGTTAAAGAGAATCTAGAAATATCAACTGCCCCAAACCTGTTCCCTCTAGCACAAAAACAGGTTAGCAGCACAGGTTAAGCTCAGCAACTTATGAGTTTGAAAGCCATTCTCAAATATGCAACACCTATACGAAATCCTGTCCTAATAAAACACAAAGTGAAACTCTTAGAAAGTACAAAGAAGTGCATACAGGCTGGTGCCTGAGTTGACAGTAGTGAGCTACCAAGAAAGAAATGCGAGACTGGCCTTACTGTTTATACTAGAGTATAGGTCTAGGTTTAGTGGCCAAAATTTTTTTGGCAAAATGTACAGCATCAACTTATTCATGGGTTGAAATCTCTAAACTCCCTACACTGAAAAAAAAAAAAAAAAAAAAAAAGAGCAGCAATGCAGTAGGCCTACTGGCTATATTAGGAATGTTTTGCCTATTACATATTACACATTCCCCCTCATCTAAAACTACAGTGGTACCTCGAATTTTGGCCTTAATTCATTCCAGAAGGCTGTTCAAGTGCCGTTACCAAACGAATTTGTTCCCATACTGAATAATGTAAATCAGATTAGTCTGTTTCAGACTCCCAAAAATACTTACAAAAGCACTCACAAAAATACACTTACACAATTGTTCGAGTTGGGAGCTGTTTGAAACTCGAGGTACCACTGTGCTTGCTCATTCACTTTATGAAACTTTACTATTACACAATATCTTATTTCTTTTGGCAATTCCATAAATGCGATTTATGCTCATCATGTGCTACTGGCATGGTTTCCAACATGCATCCAAGATTATTGTGTAATTCTTTATGGCCTGCCTGAGCCTAATACAGAGGCCAAGGGCATGAAATGTATGTACAGCATAAGAGGAACACTTATACTGTACTTTGAAGGATATATGATGGATGAAAAAGTTAACTTCCACTACTCCATCCCCATATCCACAGGGGATACGTTCCAAGACCTACTGTGGAAACCGAACCCGCAGATACTTGGGTCCTACTCTATGATGCTTCTAACCTGCTACTCTTACACGATTATAAAAAATACGTTTAACAAATACACAAGTGGGAATGGTTAAATGAGAATAGGACCTGCATATCATGGACCAGTAAACCTAATGTGGTACTTATCTGTTTGTTTTTATATAAAGAAGCACTGATTTAGAAATAAAGGTACATGCAGGTGAGAATGGCTGATGAGAGGAACCTCCCTAGTAAGTGCCAATAGCCCTACTGCAGTGTTCCTCTATTATGTAGGAAATACATAGTTGCATAGAAGGGCCAGTAGGTCTACTGCAGCATTTTTCTGTTAAGTGTGAAAGCAATAATCTGAGATTAGTTTCACGAGTACAAATGGTTGGGCGAGAAAACCTGCTAGAATAGGCTAAATGCAGTGCCTCATTTTTATTTAAAAAAGCACTGGTTTGTCAACAGTTGTCAATAAATGGGAATGATTGGGCTTAGCAGGACCTACCAAGTACTAGCTGGTAAGTAGGCTTATTCCAGTGTTCCTCTATTTTTATTAGATTGAAAGACTACATTTGTTGAAGCATGAAGCAAGTCATGCTGCTCACGTGACCTCAATATAGCGACTCCAACACCACATCAGCCCAGTTTGTGTTTTCACTTTATTTTAGTCTCTTCCTATACATACATATATATGTAAGACTAAACTTAGACAGGCTAAAACATGTACCAAACAACATAATACAAACATGCAGTACTTTTATTCTCAACTGATGTTCTACTGTGTCTCAAAAACTAGAAGAGATTTAAACATGAGATGTGTGAAACAAAGAATTTTTTGGAGTCAAGGGTTGACTTATACAAGAGGTCAATCTATACTCAAGAATACACAACAAATTGTTGGAGGAATAAAGAGAGGGAATATGATTAAGACATACAAAGTATTTTGGGCACCAAGAGGGTATACAAGGATGGACTCATTTTCACATGAATGAAATAAGTACAAAGTATGTATGGAAATTGCAGATGCAAGTAAACTGCAGGGATACATTAGGAAGTTTAATACAAGATAGGTGAAAAAAGTGGACCTAAACAAGGGCATGGTGGAAGCAGGCACTTTACATGGGTTCAAAATTAGGAATGACATGATTACTTATTGTCAGTTTTTGAAACTTAATAAGCAGGACCAGTAGCTGGAACTCAACTCTTCAAAAATTCAGATAGTACTATGCGTGCACACACACACACACACACACACACACACACACATTGCATTACTGTACCCCAAATGTGGACAATTCAGCAACCTTGTTCACACTGGTAGAAGAAAACTTATTAAATCACAGATGAAACATTCTAAAATCAGTTACACAAAATATGAAATGAAGTACATCTGTAATTCATAACCTAAAAACATAAATTGCATGCAAGTCAAGATCATGTTTATGAGAGTAACTTTTTCCTAATATTGGCAGCCTGCACAGTAGATAATTTACCAAGAAAAAAAATCAATCACTTCTGTAATTTGTGAGATCATAACATAATCGGATTAAAAAAAAAACTAACAAAATTTGGGATTCACTTCTGGAGAAATGATTACAAGATCAGAAAACAAAATACACCCATTAATTATTTAGATATTATTATTTAGCACAAAGGTAAGGAATAATGTTAAAATTAATATGAATCTTAGCACCTTTAAACCTAAAGTTATTAGATGGAGAGAGATGGCTAATAAACAAGATGGTTGAAATAAGGTAAATACAAAACACGACTTTTATTGAGATGTTTAAAAGTGTGTTATCAGACTTCACTTGACCAATGCAGTGATGAGCAACAAGCTAGTATAAATATACTTATTAGGCAAATGTACACAGATGCAACTAATCTGACATTTTGTTGTGACAACATTTCACTCTCCAGGAGCTTTGTCAAGCCATATAATAATGACTTGACAAAGCTCCTGGAGAGTGAAACACTGCCACAATAAAATGTTACATCAGCTGTATGTGTCCATCTACTTAACCTTCTGTCTGTAATTATCATTATTACTGATATGTTTGTTGCTTATTTTGCATCAACCAGAAAGAACTTTTTACACAGACAAAATGACCTGTGTAAATTTTTATACCTCTTGACTATGCAGAACCATTTCCTCGATAAAAACGTCCAGCTTCAAAAACCATTTTAATCTCTGGGATGGTCAACATTGTAGCTAAGTTCCACACGTCTTGAAAACAGTCACAGAATGTTACACTACATCTCAAGAAAATACTATTAGAATGATATGTGCAGTATACCTACTCTTTGGTGTCTTCCAGAAAATAAATAAAATGAATGCTGACAATTAATCCTTCGTCAGCTCCAGATCTTTATTATCATTATTATAATAAAAAAAGAAGCTCTAAATCCAGATCTTTAATATGCATTAACGTTGTCCCTTAGCCTAAAACTGTGTAGCTGTAGTCTGGTAATCACAGTATGTCTGACATCACTGTAAAGTGAATAAAATATTTCTGGAGCAAAGTAATAGTTTTGCCTGTTGATTTAAACAGTGACAACAGAATGCCATACACTAACAGGACACAAACCAACAGCATGGCATTTCAAACCAACCTCTGATCACAGAACTTGTCTTTCTAACCATAACAAGCCTCCTGTAACAATCTGGAAAATAATGTGGGTGAAGAGTCAACAAATGCATACAATTACAAGGCAAAAGGATTCCCAAATAGCATTTCCAAAACAGAAGAAGTTTGGTATCATAATTGTAAGATCTTTACCACTCTGGACTACATACATCTTAATAAAATCAGAAAAAATATTATTTTTGGAATACATTTCACTAATTTAAATACTGCATACAGATACAGTATTTTAATGATATATTGTTTCTTTTAGCTTTCCATACTGGTATTGTATATTAAAACACTAGAATATAGAAAAATTAATTAAATATTAATATCACTCATCAGTTTACAAAAATTCAAGGTGCAGTCATAGTGTAATTTTACAAAGGGTAGGAAATATGTAAAAAAAATCCAGCCTCCTATCCTAACATAGTTATCCCACTATATATCATGGATTGTAGAAGGCATTGGAATGTTCTCAGGCTGCTTTTTTAAGAATATATCACCAGAAACTATTGAGGCATCAAAGGTATGTGGCAGATATCAAATTTCAAGTCACTGGTTTCTTGAGAAAGGCTTCGGTTTGAAATGTTTTCATTATTGTATCTGACTTGCTAACATACAATTTACTTTCACATGATGTTCTTGAGGTGCCGAGTCTTGCGTATGAGAATGGAACAGCACGTAAGACTTCCCTGGGCTTTTTCCATCTCTGTCGATGCTGTTGGTTTTAATGTCCAATGAGACAACTTCTCCTCAAACACCTGAAAACAGAACACAAAAACAATTCAGGGAGCAAAACAACATTCTAATATTATATATCAGACTAATGAACTTAGTCCAGATTAATTAATAATAAAGCACACAAAGGGTGATCTAGGTAGTAGGTTGGTAGGCAGCAACCGCCCAGGGAGGTACTACCGTCCTGCCAAGTGAGTGTAACACAAAAGCCTGTAATTGTTTTACATGATGGTAGGATTGCTGGTGTCCCTTTTTTTCTGTCTCATAAACATGCAAGATTTCAGGTACATCTTGCTACTTCTACTTACACTTAGGTCACACTACACATGCATGTACAAGTATATATATGTACACATCCCTCTGGGTTTTCTTTTATTTTCTTTCTAGTTCTTGTTGTTGTTTATTTCCTCTTATCTCCATGGGGAAGTGGAACAGAATTCTTCCTCCGTAAGCCATGCGTGTTGTAAGAGGCGACTAAAATGCCAGAAGCAAGGGGCTAGTAACCCCTTCTCCCGTATAAATTACTAAATTTAAAAAGAGAAACTTTCGTTTTTCTTTTTGGGCCACCCTGCCTTGGTGGGATACGGCCGGTTTGTTGAAGAAAAAAAAAAAAAAAAAAAAAAAAGGGTGATACAATAGTAACACTGGCAGCTGAGAGAAAAATTTAAATACTCATTACTGGGAAGGTAACATTACTTATTATTAATTTTTTAACACGCTGGCCATCTCCCACCGAGGTTTGTGTAAACGTGTTAGATAGGAGCAAGCAGAGGCAAGTGCTTTTATGATCTGAATTGCTGTTGGAGTGTGAGCAAGGTAACATGTATGAAAGGATTCAGGGAAACTGGTTAGCTGGATTTGAGTCCAGGAGATGGGAAGCATAGTGCCTGCACACTGTTGGCATGCTTCTGGAAAGACTGTAATTGAACGAATGACGATGAGAGCATTTCTTCCGTTTAAGGTCACCTACTTTGGTGGAAGATGGCTGATGCATTAAAAAGTTAGTATTTCTAATATTATTACAGGCATTTTTACACTTAGTGAAAGCAATAACTCATAGGGGTCATACAGCACCTAGGGAGGGAGATGCAATTGGATATGATCCAAGAAAGGGAAGTACAAGTCCTAGGATAAGAGCCCCTCGCCAGAATCAAGAAACCTCCCTCACAATTTTACTAAAGCTTTAATAAAAGGTATATTTTTTTGTCCATATTCTCAACTCCTACTTCATAAGTAAACAAGGATGTAGGGTGTGAGATGTGGTTTCATAGGGAGGACTCTGAATTACAAGACGAGGTATACCTCAGGAAGAGGCTTCACAGAAACTTTTTCCAACTCAAGGCAGTGAAGAACAGTGAATGCAGTGAATGACAACCTGTGTCACTTTGGAAGAAGTCTGGGGATCTAATAACTAATTTAGACAACAGAAAACCAGGTTTTCTCATTTTACCCATTTCACAAAGGCTCCAACTAACCTTCAAGATATGTTCCTGGTTTATTGACTTACAGAGTTGTTTGTATACAAAACAACAAAGGATGATTATGTTTCATGCATGATTTTACTGTGGCTTATTGGTTCCTAAGTGCCCCTTTTAAGTGCTGGTCTTACATGGCAGTGGAAGAGATTCAGGGGAGCCATGTGGCCAAGAAAATGGAGGACCAAGGAATACAAAAATATGCTGTTAAATGATTTGATATGGAAAGAGTACGAGAAAACCTTGGGTATATTTTTGTAATAAATCTTTACCTTTGCAGAAGCTGGATATTCATCTCCTGTACGATGCATTAGATAGCCATTTGCAAATACAACATTAGCTGCCATATCATCAGGTACAGTCAATGTTTGATAACGGAATGTTGCTTCACGTTCGATGCGCTAAAAAAGTGTAATAAGAATTTATTAATAATGCAAAACTCAATGAAAATTTACTATTACACAATATCTTATTTCTTTTGGTAATTCTTTTACAGATAAAAACAAATAAATTAACTGATTGAAAACTAGTATCCACATCTCTCAAATACATATTTTAACATTTTTACACTGAATGATGTACTGTACAATATTATTGAATGGGAAGGAATAAGTAATTATACTATACTATAAATGGAAGAACTAGGAAGACAAATTTTAAAGATAAGAGGTATAATGCAGAAGAATGTGCTAAGGACTACATTTCAATATTTGCTGGAATTATTGTTTTAATTTTAGAGAAGGCAACTATGGTATTATTTTATTTGTCAATCAGTTCAAAAAAATATTAAAAACATTTACGACAAACTTGTAAAATTCATCCTTCTCTAGTATACAACAAGTATAGACTTTTTTCAAGGCTATTACCAGATATATGGTAAATATCATCCAAATATACACTGAGGAATGGACTATATAAGGTGTGTGTTACATTCTCAAATAAACAAAGAATAAAAGATTTGAAAAAAGTAAACTACTGCTCAAATAAAAATAAAATTTAGTATACAAGGTTACTTTACATCATTCTCTTATCACAGGGAACTGTCAGCAAAATTAGTTATTAGCTATGTCTTTTAACATTTGGGGAACTAATAACTAATTTAGATGATGGAAAACCAGGCATTCTCATTTTACCCATTTCATATTAGGATCCCCCAACTAACATTTGAGATATGTTCCTGATTTTTCGACTTAGAAAGGAGTTGTTTGTATAAAAACAAGAGAACAAAGGATGATTATGTTTCACAAATGCTTATACTGTGGCTTAACGGACTTACAATTAATTGGCTCCTAAGTGCCCCTTTTAAATGCTGAGCTAATTTATTTCTAATTTGGAAATTTCTGCATAGTATTATTGCTCTACATGGTACAGTATGCTATAACCTCATATACTGTGGAGCGGGGATGTTGCAGTTGGAGGGTCACCTGAACTGTGATATCAGCACACTTCTATCAAGACAGAAATTGAATGAATGATAGTGTATGGGTTTTCGTTCCTTTTGGATCACCCTGCCTTTTGGAAGACAGGCAATGAGGTAAAAACAAATAAACACTGTACTGCACTAGTCAAGTCACATTTAGCACAGCTATAAGCCAGTGAATAATAGCAATAACAGATACCAATGGTGTTATATACTGTACTATATACAGTGGACCCCCGCATAACGATTACCTCCAAATGTGACCAATTATGTAAGTGTATTTATGTAAGTGCGTTTGTACGTGTATGTTTGGGGGTCTGAAATGGACTAATCTACTTCACAATATTTCTTCTTTCTTTCAACATACCAGCTGTATCCCACCGAGGTGGGGTGGCCCAAAAGAAAAAACTAAAGTTTCTCCTTTTAAATTTAGTAATATATACAGGAGAAGGGATTACTAGCCCCTTGCTCCCAGCATTTTAGTCGCCTCTTACGACACGCATGGCTTACAGAGGAAGAATTCTGTTCCACTTCCCCATGGAAATAAGAGGAAATAAACAAGAACAAGAATTAGAAAGAAAATAGAAGAAAACTCAGAGGGGTGTGTATATATATGCTTTTACACGTATGTATAGTGTGAGCTAAGTGTAAGCAGAAGTAGCAAGACGTACCTGTAATCTTGCATATTTATGAGATAGACAAAAGACACCAACAATCCTACCATCATGTAAAACAATTACAGGGTTTTGTTTTACACTCACTTGGCAGGACAGTAGTACCCCTGGGTGCTTGCTGTTACCAACCTACTACCTACAAACAATTAACATATCCTTACATACATGTATTCAACATGTACTATATACATTTCATAAACAGATTCATTTTGTATTGGAAGTTTCAGCAGATACAAGATAATGATGCTATCTTAAAGTCTAAAATCTGCATGTCATATTGTCCTTACAGGGGGTTCCTTGATACTATGAAGGGATCTTATCCAAGGAATAGGGAGCAGTCTCCCTTTCCATGGATTAAACTATTACCTCCAATTCTCCAGGTGTTGTATTACTCCTGTATATTCCCCACGAATATACAGCAGTAATAACAATGAATGCTGTACTGTACCAAGCTACGGTGAGAGAGCTACTGGACCGAGAACACTTCAAACACACAATACTGCTTATCTTAGAGTCATGAACATTATTATACAGTGGACCCCCGCTTTACGATCAGCTCCCAATGCGACCAATTATGTAAGTGTATTTATGTAAGTGCGTTTGTATGTGTATGTTTGGGGGTCTGAATTGGACTAATCTAATTCACAATATTCCTTATGGGAACAAATTCGTTCAGTACTGGCACCTGAGCATACTTCTGGAATGAAATAATATCGTTAACCGGGGGTCCACTGTATATAGTTGAAGGGAAGGGGTGCAAGAGGCTTTGAATTTTATATAGCTTTAGCATCCAACAAGCTTGTGTGAGTGTGTTGCTCATCGATGAGCAACTCAACTAGTGTTGAACTCATGTCTTCCTATAGCAAGCTCTATACAGGGAATTTACACTTGCCTTCAAAATGTCTTTCGCCTCAGGAGAACTCCCAACACACATGACATCTGGTCCGGCCATAGTTACAGCTGATTTTAAATGGAGGGACTTCTCCACCTGAAAGAAAACAAAATACATGTAGAGAAACTTTGCCAAGTAACATTTAATTCAGCTTCTTGTTTTTATATATTTGGAAAGGGCCCTCCTTGAACTTCTATGTAAAATGTAATAAGTACTTTACTACCTATAGCAGCAAAATTTGACGATGTTGGAATAAATGGAATTCTTGCCAAGCCAGTGTTGCTAATATTTCCAAAAATCATAGTTATGGAATTTAGTAGCACAATCTACCCTGATTAAAAACATACTGAATAGTATTTATTGGAATGATTACTAAAAAACTGACTCTTGCAGCAATGTTTTCAAGTACTAGCTAAATATTAAAAGAATATTTCACTTAAATTTAAGGGTAACAAATGGCTTTACCCCTGCACCTGTTCTGAAAAAAAATGTAGTGAGAAGGGCCCATGCTCATGGCAAGGACCTGCCGATGAAGCCACATTGTTAAAAATATAAATATCCCTTGCTTGAAGATGCAATTCCCATTAATTTTTAATTTTTCACACAAACTTAAAATACAAAAAACTGTATCAAAAGTAATAGGAATACCGTGCATTTTCATCCTAACCTAATATCCATCACAGTGTATAATACAGTACATAATTCTGTAATGACACATTCCCATGCCTACTATGGTGATTTGTCTACTCAGAAGTATTTCTACTGTGTGTGTGGTAAATACTACCTATGTCCAGTTTTTAGAGCTTTTCTGTTTGGATACCTTAGAGTTTTTGCTTTATATTTATGATGGAATCTTGGTTGCGACAGTCCACCCTCGCCTCTGACGAGTTCATAACCTGCCTCGACTGTACCTGTAACGATGAGGTAAAGACGTTCCGATGGCCCTGGTGATGTGGATGAAGATGCTGGAGAAGGGAGCTAGAGAAATGTAGTGAAGGAGAGAGAAAATACAAAACACTACAAGCACTGACTACTTTATCTCTCTTAAACATACGAAGTAAAAATAAAAAGTCATAAAGATGATTCAATATGTGATAATAGCTGCTACTGCTGTACTAATGACATGAGCAAAGGTAAGAGAGTGAAGGAGGGAAGGAAGGAGAGGATAGGTAAACTGACAAGTAAAATGCAGATTTATGATTAAAAGTCGATAATTGAATATCATTGTAAAGTAACAATAATGTTGTACAATATGAAGCTTAGATTAGGTATTGTGGTCACCCCCAATGAACTCGCTCCCTTATGAGTGCCTGGACATAACCAGTACAAGTGTGTCCCAGAATGATGAAGTGACTATCATGTACTGTAACTAATCTAAATTTAGCCAAATTTAATCAATTGTTTCAAGCTCTGTCCTGTTTAGGTTTTTTTTTTTTTTTTTTTTCAACAAGTCGGTCGTCTCCCACCGAAGCAGGGTGACCCAAAAAAAGAAAGAAAATCCCCAAAAAGAAAATACTTTCATCATCATTCAACACTTTCACCACACTCACACATTATCACTGCTTTTACAGAGGTGCTCAGAATATAACAGTTTAGAAGCATATACTTATAGAGATACACAACATATCCCTCCAAACTGCCAATATCCCAAACCCCTCCTTTAAAGTGCAGGCATTGTACTTCCCATTTCCAGGACTCAAGTCCGACTATATGAAAATAACCGGTTTCCCTGAATCCTTCACTAAATATTACCCTGCTCACACTCCAACAGATCGTCAGGTCCCAAGTATCATTCGTCTCCATTCACTCCTATCTAACACGCTCATGCACGCTTGCTGGAAGTCCAAGCCCCTCACCCACAAAACCTCCATTACCCCCTCTTTCCAACCCTTTCGAGGACGACCCCTACCCCTCTTTCCTTCCCCTATAGATTTATATGCTTTCCATGTCATTCTACTTTGATCCATTCTCTCTAAATGACCAAAACCACCTCAACAACCCCTCTTCTGCCCTCTGACTAATGCTTTTATTAACTCCACACCTTCTCCTAATTTCCACACTCCGAATTTTCTGCATAATATTTACACCACACATTGCCCTTAGACAGGACATCTCCACTGCCTCCAACCGTCTCCTTGCTGCTGCATTTACCACCCAAGCTTCACATCCATATAAGAGTGTTGGTACTACTATACTTTCATACATTCCCTTCTTTGCCTCCATAGATAACGTTTTTTGACTCCACATATACCTCAACGCACCACTCACCTTTTTTCCCTCATAAATTCTATGATTAACCTCATCCTTCATAAATCCATCCGCCGACACGTCAACTCCCAAGTATCTGAAAACATTCACTTCTTCCATACTCCTCCTCCCCAATTTGATATCCAATTTTTCTTTATCTAAATCATTTGATACCCTCATCACCTTACTCTTTTCTATGTTCACTTTCAACTTTCTACCTTTACACACATTCTCAAACTCATCCACTAACCTTTGCAATTTTTCCTGTTTAGGTACACATTATTATTATTATTATTATTATTATTATTATGAAATTCATATCCCCTTTTTCTTATGCCTATCATTCATTTGTACTTTTTGCTCTTATCTTCCTCCTTTTCCCTATGTCTCTCAAACAGGTAAGATCTGTGTTCCCAAAATATTTTCAAATGAGAGATACCTAATATAGGAGATGAACTCGGTAACCCTTCTGTGTTTTGCAGTGTATTTATATCCATTCTGTAAAAACACCAAAATTAAAATGCATAACCAATAACATACAGACGACCAAATTTATGAGGCACTGGGCAAGGGACATTAGTATACAAATACTTCAATAAAAAATACGTCATGTAGGAGGAATAACAAAAATAATATTTTAAAGAAAATTCATTGGAATCAAGTAGAAAAAATTGTGACAGGTTAGTAATATCTCCTTGTGCATTAACTTGATAGAACAGGTTATGGTTATTTCAAGTTAAGGCTAACTGCAGTGTTCTATCATGTCCACCCCTTCAGAGAGGAGTAACAAGCACAAACAAAGCACCAAATATGTAGAGATAAGATATACAGATAACACTAAACGTGTAGTTGTCATTGTCAGAGATCATCAGATTTATCTTTTAAAACAAAATCCCTGGATGCATGTACATATTATTATTATTATTACATTAATGATAAAGTGCTTAACCAATAGGGGTCACATAGCACCTGGGAGGCAATCAGGTTTGATCTGAGAAAGGTGAGGGCAGCTCCAATTCCTCGAATCAAGAGCCCTTCATGAACATCTGGGCACCCCTACCCCCTCCCTTTTGAAGGGACTTTTAACAATAGCTTACCTTGATTGGTGTGCATGGAAACTCAGGGAAGGCGGAGGCCAGAGCACACGCTCCAGCCTGGTTGGTGCGGGATGACAAGCCAACAAAAAATTCTTTACCTGAAATATCAATAATGTACTTATTTCAACACCAGTTAAGTTGGATTACCCGCAACCTAAAAGTAAATTTAAAAGACCACTCGCTCCCATCTGAGAATGAGCACCTCAATTGTGTATTTCAGAGATAAGCTATTAGGAATAGGATTATGGGGATAAACTGACTACATCACAATGTATGGTAGAAACTTGAATAAAACAGTGGTACAAGAACAATATGCAAAAAAAAAAAAATATTACTATCCTTTGCCCCACAATTATGTTTCTCAGTACAGAAATTTATGACTACAGTGTTGTATTTCATTTAGGCAATCAAATTAACTTGGACAATTCTTCAGAAAAATGGGTATCTTCATGTGTAAAATTTTAGACCAGCTTTCCTCTAAATTTTTTTTTTTCTTATCTCGCTACTCAGTACATAATACATTTATTAGACGATACGATTATTCACAGTTAAAAAAATTACTGAAACATTTTTACTATTGCAACTTCAAGCTTTCTTATTTTTTTTTTAAATTATAGCCCCAAGACAGGGAAGTTGATTAAGATAGATCCTCACAAATATGACACATCTAGGCTTCTGATATTCAAAATAGATTCCATCTTGTACTACCTCAGCATCAATCTCACTATCATTTGTACATAATATCAGGATAGTTACGTTTCTTAAAAATACTTCATGACACAGCATACTAAATCTACATAATTGCAAACTATTTTACCTGCATATTACAATTCATTACTTGTCTCACCTGTGAAAAGTACATCTCCTCCATCTAGTGTAGCTGTCTCATCAGGTATTTCTATCACAGGAAGCTCAAGTTCGTTCTTTAATATGGCTCTCATGTATTCCACCTGCAGGCAGATGAACACACTTCATTGCACTCTGCATCAACAAAGGAATGCTTAAGCAGCTATCACATATTATGTATAATAAATATTATAGTACATGTACTTTACAAAATTTTTAAATCTCTAACTAGAAATTTTTTCTAAACACAGCCCCAAAAAAGAACTTTTTCCTCTTTTTACACTTAGTAATATATACAGGAGAAGGGGCTACTAGACCCCTGCTCCCAGCATTTCAGTCCCCTTTTATAACACGCTTGGCTTACAATGGAAGAATTCTTTTTCCACTCACCCTTGGAGTCTAACTATATACGTGTGTGTGTGTGTATATATATATATATAATATATAATATATATATATATATATATATATATATATATATATATATATATTCTTCTTTCAACGTACCAGCCGTATCCCACTGAGGTGGGGTGGCCCAAAAGAAAAAACTGAAGTTTCTCCTTTTAAATTTAGTAATATATACAGGAGAAGGGGTTACTAGCCCCTTGCTCCCGGCATTTTTAGTCGCCTCTTACGACAAGCATGGCTTACAGAGGAAGAATTCTGTTCCACTTCCCCATGGAGATAAGAGGAAATAAACAAGAACAAGAATTAGAAAGAAAATAGAAGAAAACCCAGAGGGGTGTGTATATATATGCTTGTACATGTATGTGTAGTGTGACCTAAGTGTAAGTAGAAGTAGCAAGACTTACCTGTAATCTTGCATATTTATGAGACAGACAAAAGACACCAGCAACCCTACCATCATGTAAAACGATTACAGGCTTTCGTTTTACACTCACTTGGCAGGACGGTAGTACCTCCCTGGGCGGTTGCTGTCTACCAACCTACTACCTACAATATATATATATATATATATATATATATATATATATATATATATATATATATATATATATATATATATATATATATATATATATATATATATATATATATATATATATATATAATTTTTTTTTTTTTTTAACAGGCCATATCCCACCAAGGCAGGGTGGCCCAAAAAGAAAAACAAAAGTTTCTCTTTTTAAATTTAGTAATTTAAACAGAAGGGGTTACTAGGCCCTTGCTCCCGGAATTTTAGTCACCTCTTACAACACGCATGGTTTACGGAGGAAGAATTCTATTCCACTTCCCATGGAGATAAGAGGAAATAAACAAGAACAAGAACTAGAAAGAAAATAGAAGAAAACCCAGATGGTGTGTATATATATGCTTGTACATGTATGTGTAGTGTGACCTAAGTGTAAGTATTAGTAGTAAGACGTACCTGAAATCTTGCATGTTTAAGAGACAGAAAAAAGACACCTGCAATCCTACCATCATGTAAAACAATTACAGGATTCCGTTTTACACTCGCTTGGCAGGATGGAAGTACGTACCTCCCTGGGCAGTTGCTGTCTACCAACCTACTACCTACTCTATATATCTTGTGTTATTTCTCTTAAATAAAGCAAGAGAAAACACATACATATATCACTGCAGAAGATACAGTGCTCTACCAACACCAGTTAAGACAGTACACTATATGGCTTATGGCTTTTCAATAAAATGCCATAAACAGAATGCTGTGTTCTATTAAGAGAAAATACTGTGTAACTATGTTTTACTGCAAGCAGAGATTAAAAATTATATCAAGAAACAGAATGACTTCAAGAGTGTATCAGTCTGTAGTGGAAGGAAGGTGGGGTAGGGGTCGGCCTAGGAAAGGTTGGAGGGATGGGGTAAAGGAAGTTTTGTGTGCGAGGGGCTTGGACTTCCAGCAGGCATGCGTGAGTGTGTTTGATAGGAGTGAATGGAGACAAATGTTTTTTAATACTTGACGTGCTGTTGGAGTGTGAGTAAAGTAACATTTATGAAGGGATTCAGGAAAACCAGCAGGCCGGACTCGAGTCCTGGAGATGGGAAGTACAGTGCCTGCACTCTGAAGGAGGGGTGTTAATGTTGCAGTTTAAAAACTGTAGTGTAAAGCACCCTTCTGGCAAGACAGCTATGGAGTGAATGATGGTGGGAGTTTTCCTTTTTCGGGCCACCCTGCCTTGGTGGGAATCGGCCAGTGTTGATAAAATAATATCAAGAAAACATACTTCTGAACATTTATCAAAATATAATACGATTGCAAACAAACCTTACCATGGGTAGGGCTTGAACCCGTGGTCAGAGTCGTAAAACTCCAGGCCAACAAGTTCAGCCCCACCCATGGTATGGTTTATAATGGAAATATTAGCGACAAAATAAAAAAAAAATATTCCCCTGTATTCTGGTACTATACAATACCTCCTTTTCTCTGGATGGATGACCAGGTCTGGTCAATAATGCAATTCCATTGCAGACAATGGCTATGTCTTCTACAAACACACAATCTGGGTGACTTTCATCAGCCGGCAATTCAATGACATCCAAGCCAATTTCTCGAAGTGTTGCTACATACACTTCATGCTGTTTCCTGGCCTGAAATATTGCACATCATTAAAACTCAACGCTAGCTTACATAGTGCTAACAGCATTTAAGGAAAAAAACTCTGAAAGAGTACTTATATACACAGATAAAGGAAATAAATTTACCACTTTGGCTGCCTTGCAAGAAGTGCACAGACATCAGTTCAAATGACCCTCCGAACTACATCATCTATATCTCTCCTTCCAAGTGCACTTCCAACCTCCAGGACTCCTAACCGATTTCCTTGAATCCCTTCATAAATGTCACATTATTATTATAATCATGGAGAAGCACTAAACCCATAGGATTATAAAGCACCTGTGGGGGTAGGGGGGGGATATTCAGGCTTAATTCAGGGAACTGGAACACAGATCTAATTCTCTAGATCAAAGAGCCCCTCACCAGCATCAAGGAACTTTCCCTGAGGGGATGTCACCTTGTTCATACTCAAACAGTGGTCTCCACTCATTCTGATCTAGTGTGTTCACATGCCTGCTGAATGCCCAGGTTAATACTAGACCCTTACTAAGGCTGCTTTTCCCTTCCTACCCCTTTCCTTTCTTCCATCCTTGCTACAACTTTTAAACTCCATGCCTCATTCATTCATTCATACAAGTATTGGTACACAGTTTTGCTTCCATGGATCCTGAAAACTTTTTTACAGATGCTTCAATGCTCCACATATGTATTTTTCCCCCTTGTGTGTTATATGCCCTGATCTTTTATATGCCCATCTGTCAAAATGCATACAGTTGACCCTCGAGTTTAGAACTGCTCCCAACATGACCAATTATGCAAGCCTATTTTTTCAAGTGCTATTGTAAGTATTTTTGAGAGTCTGAAACAGATTAATCTAATTTACATTATTCCTGATAAGAAATTTGTTTGGTAACAGCACTTTAACAGCCGTCTGGAACAAAAGTTCTAGACTCGAGGATCCACTGTATTTCAAATTGTATAAACACCATACG